GAGAGATGAGAGAGAGAGAGGAGATTGAGGAGGAGAGAAGAGAGAGAGAGAGAGAGGAAGGAAAGGTAATGTAGTATGTTGTCTTCTGCTTAGATTGTCTGACGTTGCCCCGCTATTCTTTACAAAAACTTCCCTGTAGGCGCGTGCTAAGTAAACTTGAATGGTCGAACGCACGTAACATTACATACATTGTAGGTATATTGCACGACAAACATGTCACCAATCAATCACTGTTGCTGCTCCACTGCAGTGAACGAATCTCGGACATACCAATACAGTTTTGTGCTGAGAGCTGAGGATAACACGATGAGAAGTGTCAGCCTCTTGGTTTGCTCAGACGCGCGCACATCATTCCGGGCGACACCCTGTCTCCAAATTACAGCGATCTGAATTATCATTCTTTACGCGGCGGACCAGCGAACGGGAGGTAACATCGACTGGTTGAGTAACAGTAGCACCATCTAGTCATATAATCAGAACTTCGCATCCGGCCGCGGCAGCTGATGTGCGGCAGGCATCACGGCATGACCACACCCCCTCATCGCCTCCCGTCGTCTGCCGCGGGCTGCACTTGGCCGCCTGGCCTACACACCGCCACTTTTCCTGCGCAGTGGCTGCCTCTCTCACCAGCCACCGCGCGCCGTGTTTCCAACGCAGCGGAAGGGAACGACGAACAACACGTCACCGACTTGTTACAGCAATGAATGGGAGGATGTGATATGTATGTACAACCAGCTTTATTGTAGACGCAGCTGTATATAACTGGCACATGTAGAGAGCATAAAAAACAGTCGGTGGTTCTGTCTAACGCCTGATGCTTCGATATACCTGCATGGCGTGGTTTGTGCACAGCCTTGTGCATGTGTCGCCGCGCGTCCACGTCGGTCGGCGTGCAAAACAATCCCACCATGACGTCACCCTGCCGCCCGCCGGGAACCTCCGTGACTTAGAACACACGCACGCAGTGTGAAGGACGAACAACGCGAGACCAAACCGGATCTTCGAGATGGTGCTGGTGCTGCGGTCCGCTCGGGCAGCTCGGCACGCGCTGGGAGTTCCTATGTCGGTAGCCACGCAGCCAGGGCCCAGACCAATTACGCGGCCTGTGTGCTCCCTTTGCTGTCTCCCCTGACCGGAGGTGAACCGGCAGCTCCTGGCCATCAGTCGTGTCCCCCGGCGAGCGACGACTGTCCGCCACGTCGAGCCATGGCTCCAGACTGGGCAGCTCCTGGCCATCAGTCGTGTCCCCCGGCGAGCGACGCCTGTCCGCCACGTCTAGCCATGGCTCCAGACTGGGCAGCTCCTGGCCATCAGTCACGTCCCCCGGCGAGCGACGACTGTCCGCCACGTCTAGCCATGGCTCCAGACTGTTCCGCCGGCGGTGTCAGGCTGCCAGCCAAGTCTGACGACGGCTTGAGTCTGTCAGCCACGTTCATCAGCGGCCCCAAGTTGCCAGCCAAGTCTGACGACGGCTTGAGTCTGTCAGCCACGTCCATCAGCGGCCCCAAGTTGCCAGCCAAATCTGACGACTGCTCTAGTCCGTCCGCTACGTCCACGACCGCCGACACTTCGGCCCGTTAGACGCGGCTCCACGCTGGTAAAGCTCAGGTCGGAGCCCGGTCAGGCCGGTCCGCACCGCCAGGCAGGTCTACCGCACGTGACCGGAGGGTGACCTCAGGTGGGAGCGGGAGATGATGCCGGTGCGGTAGTCCACCGGCTCCGGAGGACTGTGCGTGCTTCCGCTGTGGTGGCGACGCCCCCACCTGCCGATCACGGCACTCCAGGTCACGGAAACGCAAGATCACCGCCAGATGTCGCCACCGACACACCTGGTCACAACCGCATCTGATCAAACGCCCCTCACGGACATTTCAGGACACCAGCACAGCTGGTCACCAAGTTACTGGCACACTTGGTCATCGGCACACCTAATCAGCCTCAGTCGTTTGCAAAACTGACCACGCAAGCAATGGCGGACATGTAGTATGTCGAGATCTTCACGTGGTCACCGGCACGACTCCAGGTCACGACCCCAGGATATGACCCGTCAGGACATCGGAAACGGCTCCGCACCGATCATGCTTGCCATGGTTTAGACCGGTCATACAGGACGAGCGGTCAGCGCAGGTGGACACCACTGACCTGGCATGGGTGGTGCTGACCGATGGACGGTCACGAACACGTGGTCGATCGCCACGTCGGATGACAACAGAGAGCTTCACTAAGATTTCGCACGCCGTGAACTTCCACCCCACAACATACCTTATAAGTGTGCGGATATAGTTCGGCCAGTTGCTTGGGAACAAGACCAGGAAGAATCCGCAGACAATCAGCACGATCCCCGCCAGTCTCATGTCCTCGAACTCGGCGTTGTACCACTTCATGTCGACGGCTGCAACAGACGATAGAGGTCGCGCCACGGTCTGCATCACCACATCACATGCATCTCACACACGTATCACACGCATCTCACACACGTATCACACGCATATTACACGCATATCACACACACACACACACACACACACACACACACACACACACACACACACACACACACACACACACACACACACACACACACACACACACACACACACACACACACACACACACACACACACACACACACACACACACACACACACACACACACACACACACACACACACACACACACACACACACACACACACACACACACACACACACACACACACACCACACACACACGTATCACACACGTATCACACGCATATTACACGCATATCACATATATATATATATATATATATATATATATATATATATATATATATATATATATATGTATATATATACATATAATACACGCATCACACGCACATCGCACACATATCGCATGTATCACGCACATCTCACACACGTATCGCACGCATATCACGCGCATGTTTGCTTGGTTACGAAACTGATACATTCGCTCGGATGTATCAGGTGATTTCATGTGTGCCGCACGACAGTGCCCCGTATGGTCCTCTCTAACCGCCCGTGTTCAATACTTTAAACGGCCGCTGCGCAGTGAGTTGGTCGCCCGGCGTCCCGCACCCACGCAGCTTCGAACCTAGGTCGTCATCGTGGAGTATCAGACTGATATGAACGCCATGGCGACTTGCAACGCACCGGAAGGCAGTGAAGGGAGAATACGGGCTCTGGGGTGCCGGGACGGGGGGGGGGGGGGCGGACAGGGCAGAGGAATAGCGGCTCTGGCGCCGGCTTGTGGGCTCTGCAGGATTACATGAAAGACTGGAGCGAAGGACTGGGGCTCGCCGGCCGCCGGTGAAGCCCGGAGGGCAACAGCTACCCACTGTGGGATAATCCAGCTGTTCTCACTAAAACACTCCAAGAAGCTGGCCGCTGAACGCCTTCTGACGTCCTGCAACTGGCGGACGCCGAGCCTGCACGGAGCTGGCGGGTCGACGCAAATTATTGGATGATGCTGCAATCGCATCACATCCATAACTGTACCACAACCACACTTTAGCCACCATAATAGCTGCACCCAGCCACGCGATCGGCGAGAAGGGAACTGAAGAGTTCTTCATACCGCAGGCTTTACATTCATGCACATGTTCGTGAAAATATCACTTTAACCCGACCGCCAAGCGTGATGCCGCGCCACCGCCGCACTGCCCTTGACCCCAGTGGAATGCCCGTTGGTGTCTCTGCCCCATCAGGGGCCGGTGTTGGATTCCGCTCCTTTGTTTACGGACGGCGAACCTCACGTGTTTACCCTCCGTCCAGATGAGGTCATCAGCCGGTGGTGACTGGTACAAGCTTGCACCCGGGTGGCCACGTGGAGAGGCATTGTTACACGGTATTTGCAGGGTCACAAGAAGCGGCGTCATATATCCCGAGCATTTGTACTCCATAATATTTCCAGCCTTGCAAAACGGGTGCAAGGATAGCTCACAATACACCCCTCTCCCATGAGTCCTCCGGACAACTCTCATCCCCGAGCCAGGTAACACTGAACCACCATATATCTGCATGTTGAAACCTCATGCCACCCGTCATTACGAATACCCACGATGCGCCGCAGCCAAAACAGATGGAACAACGACATCCGGCACATAGCGGTCATCACATTACGCAGCGTAGGGTACTGGATCCGTGAAAGACCTGCCACCACCCTGCCGGAGCAGGAACCTCTGGGCTATCTGTACGCTTTCCAATAAGCCCAGTGTCCTTGCATTGGCACTGCCCGAAGTGGGTCTACCAGTCGGACGCCACCTTACCCTCCTCACTTGGAAGTCTTCCGCTGAAGTAACGCCTGACCAATCGTGGCATTCGCGCCCTCCAGAGCGCGCACATGGCAGGCCGGGGTGATCCCTCGTCGAAAGTGGGGTTGGCTCGGACGGCTTGTTGTACAGAAGTCCCTCGTCAGCCAATTTGCTGCGAAATGTAGCATTAACATTCCTTGTGTCATTGCTAAACCACACGGCTCCCAGCTCTGCAGTAGCTGTTTTTTTTACCCCTGGCGTGGAGGTCATTTTGTTCTCACGGATGTCACGTCCAGACATGGGCAGCGTCTCCGGCGATTAAGCGACAACCGACCGCACCACGCCCTCACCCAGGGCAGCGTCTTCAGCGACCGAGTAACAACCGACCGGGCCACGTCCACACTCGGGGCAGCGTCTTCAGCGATCGAGCAACAATCGACCGCACCACGTCCACACCCAGCGCAGCGCCTTCAACCTCCGAACAACCGACAGCACCACGTCCACACTCGGGGCAGCGTCTTCACCGACCGAGTAACAACCGACCGCACCACGTCCCCACCCGGGGCAACGTCTTCAACGACCGAACAACCGACCGCACCACGTCCTCACCCGCGGCATCGTCTTCACCGGCCGAACAACAGCCGACCGCACGCAGTCTTTGATGGCGTCCGTAAAAAAACAAGTCAATATACATGCTTTTCCGCTGCTCTTCGCTTCAACTCGCCGTCAATGCTGTCATTATTACGATCAATGTTCCCGCCCACGATAAGCGACGCCGGAGAAATTCACGAGGAACACATCTCACATTGACAGCGCACAAGTTCGTTCTCACCAGCTGCCCCCACGGTTGCATGGTTTACCATGATATTCCCAAACTTGCTCATCAAATGCAAGCATAACTTACAGCATGCATGAAAATTGATGGCTAATGACCGTTGTTTTTCATTTTGCTGAGATTTCACAGCAACTTCAAAGTACCCAAAGCGAAGCATGCGCCATATAACATGGCATTCTATAAATGATGTATTCACAGGTACCACCGCACCCAAAATTTGATGTACAGTGCAGTAAAAACACAATTTAGCTGCAGGAGTATTTGACTCCACCTGTCACATCGTCGGTGAAACAAATACAAGCACATTTAACGATTACATGTACCGGGACGTGAGAGTGAGAGGGCGGCCGTCAGCCCCGCACGTCGAACCTGACCCGAGTGGATGCCAAGCGGCCCCGCAGAGCCGGCCGCTGCTGCTACGAGGGACACCCGCGGCCGCACGCCGCAGCGCGTGGCACCGCTGATCGATTTTCGATCGCGCTGCGTGGCTAACGCTGTTGATACGTCGGTCTCGCCACAGTAGTTCGTGGGCCATTCACTGGTCACCAATTGCTGGAAATTGGCACGCGGACGACAGCAGGACACATGATGCATTACCTAATCCCCGAACTGTGGCCCGAGTGATTCGCTCCTGCCCACTGTTTTCTGTTCTTGTTTTCGTCCTTGCGCTTTGAGAGCGCTGCTTTTCCGATCGCCTTTCAAAGAGAGACGTGCTTCCTGTTGTGGAGCACTGGCGCGACTGGTGCCTATAGTGTGTGCACACAGTTTATTAAGCTGCCTCAAAAATTATGCAACGGGATAACTTTCGTCCATGACAAGCTTTACTTGTTGTGAGACATAGCTGGAGGCAGAGGTCTAAACCGCAGTCATGTGCACAATGCATTGCCTAACACATATACAGTGGTTTGTACCTACACTAGTGAGCAAGGGAGTCGATTGCTGTAAATGTTTGGCTGGATATCCCGGGAGTCCTTCAACCCAATGTCCCCAAATATATGTTTAAATGTTTTACCTAACGTTTTACTCCGTTTTCGTGACATCCGCCTCAAAATATTGACCTCAACCAACATTGGGTGCCCAAACCAACATCAAGGGGCTAGGAGCGCCTCAGCAGAATACGAATCGACACCTCTGCCTGTAAAACAGCTCGTGAGTTGTTAGTGTTTATCGTCTGCCCACTAATAACAGAAAAAATGCCCTAACATTTGTCTGCTTGTGGTAAAATTATGTGGTAGTAATGTACATGGCAGCATACCAGCATGGTGAGGCCGCCATCCGTGAGGAGTCACACCACATTATCAATGAGGCGACTGGCGATGCCATGCTGACTATCGTCTCCTGACGCATGAACAGAGCGTTCGATAGTGTAGCCATCTGCTGCATCCTGCCCAGGCCCGGTCACGTCACGGCACCGACACATGGGGCGCGGACAACACCGAGCGCGTCCCTCCCATACGTGGATCCCATCCGCTGCATCCTGCCCAGGCCCGGTCACGTCACGGCACTGACACATGGGGCGCGGACAACATCGAGCGCGTCCCTCCCATGCGTGGATCCGACAACCGAAAACCTTGGCGAACCGACAGCCTTGTTTGATCTCGCACCACCACATTTCTGCCCCTGATGCTAATAAGGAGCATGCGCTCTTCCACTCCCATGCGGAAGATCTCCAGCCAGTTAGTCGTAACAGCTCTGGGACAGGTTTGAACATCGAACCCCCGCTCGACACGCAAGGGTGACGGCGTTCGGCTCCGGGTTAGGGCATTCGCAGCGGGTCGACGGTGCTCGCCTCCGCCGGGTCGTCCAACACCGGCAGCAGCAGCAAGGTCTTCACGATGGCCTGCATGGCCGTCGGTGCGTCCTTGCGCTGTAGCGCCACGTACGCCCGCTGCAAGTACTGGCGCGCTAGGCGGACCTGGTCGGCCGGCAGACCGCCACCAGGCTTCAGTCCGGGCGGGCGCATCTCGGCGCAGCCCGCCTCGTCGGCGCCGTCGCCGCAGTCGTCGATGCCGTTGCAGCGGGCGGCGGCGACGAGGCAGCGGCCGTCGGCGCAGAGCACCTGGCCGTCGCCGCAGGAGCCGGGCAGGCCGCAGTCGGCCTCGTCGCTGCCGTCGTGGCAGTCGGTGACGTTGTCGCAGACCCAGGCGGCGCGCACGCAGCGGCCGCCGTCGCAGCTGAAGTGCGCGCCGCACGTCTCCGGACTGCCGCAGTCGACCTCGTCGGCGCCGTCGGTGCAGTCCCGCTCGCCGTCGCAGACCCACAGGCGCTCGACGCACTGCGGCCGGTCCCCGCAGGCAAACTTATCCGGCGGGCAGGTGGACGCGGCGCGGCAGCCGGCCTCGTCCGAGCCGTCGCCACAGTCGTCTTCGCCGTCGCAGCGCCAACGACGCGGCACGCACCGGGAGCCGCTGCCGCACGGGAAGTAGCGGGCGGACGTGCAGTTGCCGCTGCCGCAGCCGGCCTCGTCCGAGCCGTCGCCACAGTCGTCCTCGCCGTCGCAGACACGGCTGTAGCTCACGCAGCGACCGCCGGCGCAGGCGAACTGGTCCTGGCTGCACTCGAGTCCGGCGGCGCACGTCTCCGCCGCCGGCACGCAGCCGTCGCCGCACTGATAGTGGCCCTTCTCGCAGCGGCCGCAGTCGACCTCGTCGCTGCCGTCGGCGCAGTTGGCATCCCCGTCGCAGCGATGTGAGAAGGAGAAGCAGGAGCCGTCTGCGCAGCGCAGCAAACGACACTCGCTCTGCGAGCAGTTGCGCTCGTCCCTGCCGTCGGTGCAGTCCCTGGCGCCGTCGCACCGGCCCACGATGATGATGCACTCGTCACCGCAGTCGAACTGGTCGTGGTTGCACGCCTTCCGCGGGCAGTTGGCCTCGTCTGACCGGTCAGCGCAGTCGGCCTCGCCGTCGCACGTCCACCTGGTGGGAATGCAGCTCCAGTTGCCGTTGTTGGCGCAGCGGAACTGGCCGGCGTCGCACTGCTGCGCTTCACAGCCGGTCTCGTCCGAGCCGTCGGAGCAGTCCGGATCGTCGTCACAGCGCCATCGCTCAGGGATGCAGGTTCCGCCACGGCAGCGGAACTGGCCCGGCTTGCACGTGCTGGTCTCGCAGTTGGCCTCGTCGGAGCCGTCAGCACAGTCGTTGGTGCCGTCGCACACGGCCGTTTCCAGCACGCAGGTTTTGTCGGGGCAGACAAGGGCGGAAGTCGGACAGCCGACGTCGCAGTCGGCCTCGTCGGAGCCGTCGCGACAGTCACGGTCGCCGTCGCAGCGCCACGAGCCCTGCAGACAGCGGCCGTCGCCGCACCGGTGCAGGCCCGGCGCGCACGTGCCGACGTCGCAGTCGGCCTCGTCGGAGCCGTCGCCGCAGTCGTCGTCGCCGTCGCAGCGCCAGAGCGGGCGCACGCACTTGCCGCTCGGGCAGGTGAACAGGTCGCCCACGCAGTCGGTGAGGCCGCAGCCGGCCTCGTCCGAGCCGTCCTCGCAGTCCGAGTGGCCGTCGCACAGCGCCGTCTTGGCGATGCACCGGCCGCTGTGCGGGCACGCGTGATGCGATGACGCGCACAGCTTCGATTTGGTCAGGCCGGCGACGGCGCAGGTCGCCGGCGCGACCAGCGCCAGTGCCAGAGCCACCACCAGAGCCGGGGAGCTGCACCGCATGGCTGCCCGGCGGCGTGTGACGGCACGGACGGCAGGCGCGCCGTCTAAATAGACCTCGGCTCAGTCCGGCGCCGCAGAGCGCTGGGCTGCGCAAGCAGAGATGAAAACGTCCTTCGCTCGTGATGAGGCGGATTTTCCAGTGAGAAGCGTCTTGGTATCCGGCGCCTGGGTCTGACAGTCGAGCCGAATGTTCTGCCGTGTGTTGAGAAGAGGCAGGTGAGCGTCCCAGAGCGAGGACAGACCGGAGCAGCTGTGCCTTTGCTACGGAAAACCGGGCGTGTTTGGCATCTCTAGGACGGTGCTTTGTTTTATTGAAGGGAGGTCTCATTTTCCTTCCGCGAACAGTCCCTGTTGCACAATGCAGTGACCTTTGGTCGTTCGCCTGCAGCCTCCAGTCGTCAGGTGACACATCAGTGGACCACGTGACTCTCAGGTCAAATGATGATTGAGTGGCTGAGATTTAGCACCACGCAAATCTGTATCCGGGTATGGGTCACTATAGAGGAAGACTCGGCGGGAGGACGTTTGTTGCCACGACTCTCGAAGCCGTATCCGGGTATGGGTCACTATAGAGGAAGACTCGGCGGGAGGAGGTTTGTTGCCACGACTCTCGAAGCCTGGAAGCCACGGTCTATGCACGCAGAACCCGGGCCTTTTGAACAACGCTCGAGTTGACCACCCTCCAGCGCCAAGTTAGGTCAGGGCCATAGTCAGACCAGGCCATGTCCGTCAACACGCTGGCCGGCTGAGATGCCGCATCGGTTGTAACGCAAGGTGAAGATGCCCCGTCGCCGGGGGGCAAATGATGTCGGGCTCCGCCGCGTCTCGGGTCCTCCCCGCGAAATGATGGTGTCGAAATAGCCGGCTCTCACGCCATCACGGCAGTCAGCGCGTACAGCTTTCGGTGATTTTTGGTGTGGTATAGTTCGTGATAATGGCTTGCAAGCATAGGCATACGCCACAGTAGCTACACCCGTTTTACCATCCGTGTCACGTCTGGCCGATACAAGCGCTCCATCCGCGTCACATCTGGCCGATACAAGCGCTCCATCCGCGTCACATCTGGCCGGTATCATCTTCATCCGCGTCATGGGGCTGATACCGGATAAGGTACCAGCTCCATGGCGCGGATGGATAAGCGCTTATATCTAGCCGATACAAGCGCCTCGTCCATCCTATCTGCCGTCTTCGCTGATTGGTGCTCTCCGATGCTCTCTGATTGCAAGGTGCGTCATTCTATTTCTTTTTTTAGTGTTAATGAATATCAATTGCTGACAGTCAAGCACTGCATGGGTCACCTCACAACAACTCTGTGCTATGTTAGAAGCCCCCGGGGTATTGATCTGTGTTCTAGGTCGTCAAGACATTGGTCGAACGCTGCCACGCATGATAGGTTTTTGCTATCCGTAATGATGGGTACGCACGATGGATGATGAAACTGACAAACATCCGTGATAAATATTTTGCTTAAAAGCGGCCTGATTCCTCGGGCTCTTAAGGGGATTGGAGGCTTCAGCAAGGGTTATGGGTTTCCTACGTTCTGAACCACCTGCCTGTGGTAGGCCGCCCAGTGCGGCCTGCCACGGGTACGGAGATTCATAACCTGCCGCCAGACTCGTCCCGAGATTGAGTCGAAGGCTGCACATCTCACCCGTGCTCAGGACCCTCGGGCCATGAGATGGGGGGGGGGGGGGATGAGGCCCCATAGCGCGACTGTACCCGTGTATTTGGAGCTCTGGCCGCCTCTGGCTGGCCACCGACCGTCCAGCGTTAGCGCCCCCGTGTCAGTCACGCGACCATCTCCCAGAGAGCCGCGACATGGTAAGCGGCTAACACAACCTACTGCGCAGTAAGAAGCGTGCATGTTGTCCAACAGCCCTTCACGTTGCCCCGCAGGGTATTGCTGCGTTGTCAAACACCTCTCGTGCGATGACGTAAGCCATAGATATGGGGTGCAGTGGAGCTACGGCTGGTCGGCGAGCTGCGTCGCGATAAACACTGACTCCCTGACACGGCCCTCCTCCTTGCCGGGCCGCAAGCCTCTGGTCCAGTGTACGCCATGCGTAGTTTCACGGAAGCATTGAGACAAGGCCTTAGGATCACGGATGGAATAACCGCTCAGGCTACCGTCCTCGTCTGGTGTGTTAGTATGTACGCACATCATATTCCATACAACGTTGGATGCGAGCGATTTCCCGGTTAGCTCAGTTGTTATGGCACTGGACTCGTCATCAGAAGACCGCCGTTCGATTCCCATTAGTTCTTACGATGCAGTTCGGGTTACAATGCGCGCAAAACTCAAGGCCAAATGTCATCCAGTCCTTCTCAGCACTCAACCATACGTCGTGACGTCCAAAGAGTTGTGGCCAAAACGTTGTATACAAGCTAAAACACCAAGCGAGGAGAAAAGTCTTAACACTTACTCCATCCGTGACGTGCCGAGGCGTAGGACGCAAGCTATAACGCATTGTTTAGCACTTTAAATTAAGAATCATAACACACGACAATAAAAGGAAATCACGACACGTCCCGCGGCATGCTTTACAAGTAAGAACACGCCACAAGGCTCTGATCCAGCACGGGCGAACAGTCCACACGCGGTTCATAGGGCCTGGTCGCGCGAAGGCGCTCACATTTGGGGATTGCGGAACGGCTCGGTCATATGTGCGTCAACATGAACATGGGTCTAACGTCCGTTTGATTTTAACCTATTGTTGTAATTTACCGTGACAAATGGTGATGTGATTGATTGGCCGGGTGTAGAATGCTCACTACGAGGAGGCTCGTACGGAGTGAAGGCACGCCTTTGTATGCAGTGGGATACTGACGGCAGCGCCTGAGTGCTCCGGTAACGTTTCGTCCCAAGGCAGCCAGGGGGATGTCTACCCAGAGTTGGCTGTCATAAACCCACTGCGGCGAGACATCCAATAGTCTTCCATCTTCCGAGGGAATGAAAGAATGAATAGCTGACGAACTTCAAACAATGTGGCAACGTCGTTGATTAGATGAGAAAGTGCAATAATACGAAGTTCAGGCCAGTTCAACATCGAACAGTTCAGGCTGTAGATGTAAATAGAGCTTGGCTGGAGCTTCATAATAGAGTGCTACGCGTCGTGTGCTGTTTTCGTTTTTCGTTCTCCGGTCGTAAGGACCGCACTGCGCAGCCACTCTGTAGGCAGATGATAATGTAGCTCCGATAGACTTTGCTGCGCCTTGGGCTCCTCCTGAACGAGACGTCACATACGGTGCGACGGCTTTGGTGGTGTTAACACGAAACAACGCACTGTCTAGCCTTCTGGCTGTCCATCCAGACCTTCATCAAACTACGCTATTTTGAAGCGGTCATGGACTGTGCTCGTGCATCTGCTTGTGTTCACCATAAAGCAACAATGCAGCTGATGTCAGACACATTCCTGGCTTACCAGCACTGAGAGGCACCGCCAAGATCAGGCCCAGGGTGACGAAGAAGTCGTAGGTGATGAGTCCACCGAAGTTGCTGAGCAAGTTGCACACTGGAAGACATGCATTCTCATTAAGGCTTGCCGAGGAGACGCGACGTGTAACGTTAGCATACTCCAATCACTTAATAAAGATGCAATAATATGTCCCACAATTATGATGTCGTAAGCAAACTTTAAATTGAAGTAAAGGTACATTGTTCAAATTTCTAATGATTCTGCATCGAAGTGAACGTATATAAAGTAAGATTAACTAACTCTGCTACGCCTTTATCACATTCGTTTGCTCACCCAACGCTTAGCATAAGACTCTGAGGTTGGCATCAGAGAGCTCCTAAAAAGACAGAAACTGACTAAGAATGAATTTCGCGACTCTCATGAGCTTCAACAAGTGAGTCTCAGTCGGAAAGCCTCAGCCAGAGAGCCTAAGGCAGGCAGCTTCAGCTAGAGAGTCTCAGCCAGGGAGCCTCAGCCGGAGCACCTCAGTCAGAGAGCCTCAGCCAGAAAGCTCCAGCAAGAGTGCTTCAGCCTGAGAACTTCAGCCAGAAAGCTTCAGCCCGAGAGTCACAGCCAGAGAACCTCAGTGAGAAAGCTCCAGCCAGAGAGCTCCAGTCAGGGCCCCTTCGGTTAGTACAGCTGCTGACCTAGTGTGAGCCCGGCTGCTCCAGAGAGCTCCAGCCAGGGCCCCTTCGGTTAGTACAGCTGCTGACCTAGTGTGAGCCCGGCTGCTCCAGAGAGCTCCAGCCAGAGAGCTCCAGTCAGGGCCCCTTCGGTTAGTACAGCTGCTGACCTAGTGTGAGCCCGGCTGCTCCAGAGAGCTCCAGCCAGAGAGCTCCAGTCAGGGCCCCTTCGGTTAGTACAGCTGCTGACCTAGTGTGAGCCCGGCTGCTCCAGAGAGCTCCAGCCAGAGAGCTCCAGTCAGGGCCCCTTCGGTTAGTACAGCTGCTGACCTAGTGTGAGCCCGGCTGCTCCAGAGAGCTCCAGCCAGAGAGCTCCAGCCAGGGCCCCTTCGGCTAGTACAGCTGCTGACCTAGTGTGAGCCCGGCTGCTCCAGAGAGCTCCAGCCAGAGAGCTCCAGCCAGGGCCCCTTCGGTTAGTACAGCTGCTGACCTAGTGTGAGCCCGGCTGCTCCAGAGAGCTCCAGCCAGGGCCCCTTCGGCTAGTACAGCTGCTGACCTAGTGTGAGCCCGGCTGCTCCAGAGAGCTCCAGCCAGGGCAGCTCGACCCAGGAGACGAGCTCGACGTGGCCCAGCGACAGCCCGAGGCAGACGGGCCAGAGCAGCAGCGTGCTGATGAGCGCGATCAGGCTGAGGAACACGCTGACTGGACCCGGCCCGCAGTCGGTCATCACCTTCCGGAACAGCACCTGCCCGCACAAGAGGGGCAGTCACGGCCCCTGCCCGGCGATAGGCAGCCAAGGCAAGGACGGAGAGGGCGGTGACAGGGGCATTAGATGACGGCAATCAAGATCAGAAGGTGCAATAGTGTGCAGAATATCACAATATGACGTATACGAAGGATTATGAGGATTTGACAGGAATGTCATGGCTGTATGAATTAACTGACAGTGTCGGGAAGGAAACGCATCCCAAAGGGTTCAAATCATAGGTCGCGACAGATAACACGGATGAAGGGTGGCCATGTGACTTCAGTCAAGCAATCAATTAATCAATAAATCAATAAGTCAGTCAATGAAACAAGTAATCTTCAGTCAACTGAATAACTGAGAATAACTAAGTAGGAAATAATGAGAATAAATAAATAAGAAAAAAAATAAGAGAATCCAGTCAGCTGAAAAAATGAGAAATGTCTTCATTGGAGTAAGTGGTAACGGTGACCTAACGGTGTTAGTAGTTATCGTGCCTCTCAAAGACTGGTAAGGGAACAGCGCTGATTTCAATTTTTTAAATATACCAAAAGAGGCTCAAGTTTTCCACGTGCCCACAACACATGACCAAAGACGTTAAGATGGGTCCATCAGCTGATCAGTCCTGGGTTCACAATACGCAGTGACATGCCAAGCTATACAACTGAATCACACGTGACTGCGCTCGTGACCTTCATGCTCAACAAATGTGCACTGCGCGGGCCTGTTACGGCCCCCATACGACATCCATCGAAAGCAAATACTGCGCACTGGATGTGTCTGTCTTCACCTGTCGTCGATAAAAACTGTTCAGGCGTCTCCAACGTTGGAAACAAATGAGGCAGACCATTCATTTCATGAAGGAAGTCGCCCATTTAAAGATATAACGATCAGTGTTAATAATGAGCTTACTGATGCGGACGTACAGTCAATCTCACCACCTAAATCCGAAGATGAAACGCCTTTCTCATAGTATCAGCACTGTCGGCTAATCACATATCCTGCAAATGCTTGCATTAACATGGCATCTAAGCCCTTTAACTCGTTAGCTCTCAGTCGGCGTTGTGGCCAAGGCTGAAGTCACCGCGGCGAATCTGTCTGGCAGCAAGTTCAGATTCCACGTACATGTTGACTATTGGGATTGGGGTCAATCAGCACGGTGATGGGATGTCCGGAGAAGAGCTTGGGGCCAGCTTCATGTGCTATGAGTCAGCCCCGAACTGAAGCTGAAGAACGCCAACTGCATGCGAAGTATTCTTAACGCTATTCCGCTGTTAGCATATATCATTGAAGGGAATGAAAGCTCATAACAGTTGATATACTTCTGAGCGATGTGACTGGTCTACGTGATTGGTATACTTCTACGACTGCTCTACGCAACTTTTCTTTTCTATTGAGTACATATGCTCATCAGTACATTATTGTTTCATTGCGTCATCATACCTCGCACAACATTGATTGAGAGCCAATTGACGACCGCTATATCTGAAAATGGTGCGCACGAACGCCAGGTCAGAACGGCTCGACATTTATATCTGTCTAGGCCTTGATCGTGGCATGGACAATGAAATGGCAGGATTGCAATAATGCCATTATGGCGTCATGGGTGACTGGTTGGACTTGGAATAGTCTCCCCGAAAAGGCTGCACATCTTTGTGGGTGTGTAGCTCAAAAGCTGGAAGGGCTTAGGTCTTAAGAAGGGCAATGCTGCGAGCTGTGCTGAATGATCTCCAAGATGGCTATTTCAATTCAAACCCCCGTACAAATGTAAAAACTCCCTTTAATGCTAGGTATGTGAAGGACAAATTTCACAAACCCAAAATGTTGCTCATTCAGATCTTGTTACATGTAAAGATCCTTAGGTTTATTCCCTGCCTGCCGCCTCTGACTACGCATTGGGGCATGCCCGCTTGATGCCTCTAAACACTACTGTAAAGCAATGGACATCAAGTTCATGAATGACAGACGTGACTCGTCGAGGACACCATCAGCTCAGCAACAGTGAAAACATTCATCTTATCCCCAGTTAGAGGAAAAGACACGGGCCAGGCAACGTGAGATGCAGACCGGACCTTGTAAGCGGCTGACCCGGCGGCTCCAGTGGCTGCCATCACCACGCTGCCCAGCGTCGGCGTCTTGGCCACGCCGTCCATGTAGGCCAGCAGCGCCACGCCCGTGTTGCACATGATGACAGCTACGATCTGCACGCAGAGGGCTGTGTCAACCGTGGATCTGCATATAGAGGACCGCATCACCCGTGCATCTGTGCAAAGAAGACCGAGTCACCCGTGGATCTGTACACCGATGGCCGCATCACCCGTGGAGCTGTACCCGGAAGACCGCATCCCCCGTGGATCTGTACACAGAGGACCGTGTCACCCATGTATCTGGACACCGAGGACCGTGTCGCCCGTGTATCTGTACATAGAAGACCGCGTCACCCGTGGATCTGTGCACAGAGGACCGCGTCACCCGTGGATCTGTACAAGGGGACCGCATTACCCGTGGATCTGTATATAGGGGACGCGTCACTGGCGGGTATGTACACGGGGGACGGCATCACCCGCAGGTATGTACACAGAGGATTGCATCACCCACGTTAACGGCCAAGCTCTGTATGCACGAAGGTCCGTGTCACCCGTGGCAGCGACCACGACCTCTACACAAAAATCGTGCCCCTCACCTGTTACACATGGGAATAGAATATATAGAAGATAACAACTCCACGTAACAGGGTCCGCCCGTCTGTACAGTGCACACGCACGAAGGCTCACGTTGAGCACGATGTCGGCCATCACAGAAACAAGGTTTCGCAAAATGGGTGTGAGTGAAGGCGAGGGGGGGGGGGGCTGAGCAGTGAAACTGAAAAAAATATTTCCACAAATATGCCAGCAAATATGTTTCTCTCCGGACTCAGTTCACCGTCTTTTCAAAACTGTGGGGAGGGGAGGGGGGGGGGGGGCTGAATCCCAAGCTGAGGGGATGGAGCCTAACTCCCCATCCAAACCAAATAGAAAAGTGCACCTCTGGGCCATAATGCAAACACCAGACACACAGCCATAATTTGCCTGGGGACTTTGCGCCAAAGACACCTCCAAGCGTAAGTTGCCGATTGTTAGAGACGGCGTCGGTCTCCGGATGTGCGCAAACAAGCCCGTATGGTGTACATGGTGACGGTCGTCACTCGTGCACACGGATTCTCACGTTGCACATGATGACGGCTACAGTGTGTAAACTAGGCGCGTTTATATGGTAATGCCTGTAAAATGTGAAACATATGACCATCTATGGCAGTGACTACGATCCGTACGGAGAGAAGTCAGTGTTTACGCATGGCAACGACTCCAATCTACACACGGGGAAATCCATGCGCAGACCCCGGCAGCCATGGTCTGAATCCAAAGAGAAGCCTGGTACTCATGAAGACATCCAAAGAGAAGCCTGGTACTCGTGAAGACATCCAAAGAGAAGCCTGGTACTCATGAAGACATCCAAAGGGAAGCCTGGTACTCATGAAGACATCCAAAGGGAAGCCTGGTACTCATGAAGACATCCAAAGAGAAGCCTGGTACTCATGAAGACATCCAAAGGGAAGCCTGGTACTCATGAAGACATCCAAAGGGAAGCCTGGTACTCATGAAGACATCCAAAGAGAAGCCTGGTACTCATGAAGACATCCAAAGAGAAGCCTGGTACTCATGAAGACATCCAAAGAGAAGCCTGGTACTCATGAAGACATCCAAAGAGAAGCCTGGTACTCATGAAGACATCCGTGATCTGCGCACACGAGGGCCTCGACACGACACACATGGCTACCACCGCGATCCTGGCGCGGACAAGCCTGGGTTGCATATCAGGACAGCCGCGGTTTGCTTTACGTGTTGGCGCTGCCTTGGCCCGCGGCGCGGACGGCCGCCCAGCTCCCTCGTTGCCACCCAGGCGGGGTACGCCACAGATCAGCGTCCCAGCTCCCTCGTCGCCACCCGGGCGGGGTACACCACGGATCAGCGTCCCAGCTCCCTCGTCGCCACCCAGGCGGGGTACACCACGGATCAGCGTCCCAGCTCCCTCGTCGCCACCCAGGCGGGGTACGCCACAGATCAGCGTCCCAGCTCCCTCGTCGCCACCCAGGCGGGGTACACCATGGATAAGCGCCCTAGATCACTCTTCGCCACCCAGGCGGGGTACACCATGGATCAGCGCAGTGGCCGGTGAGACGTTGCGGGCTCACATGACGGCAGCGACAGTCCGCACACAGGGTGTTATGCATGATGACGGCGACTACCACAGATACTTCCATGCTACACAGCACGGCGATCGCCCTTGCATGGACGCATGACGTTGTCACATGCTGTGAGACCATGACGTACCCACCGGTGGAAGCAGGCTGCACAGTGACAGCCATCTTTTCTAACGGCGGCTGCAGCAATAACAAAACAACCGTGAAACATCACGGGCAGGAATACTTAGAACATCGCACTGTGCACTGACACAGAACTTCGCATTGTCGAATCGCCTCTGATCACACCAGTCATCGAAGCAGTCCAACAGCGGTGTCACCCGAGCGCCAACAGTGGACTCACCCGGACGCCGACAAACTGCTCGTGCAGCACCACCCAGGAGAGCAGATACACGAACCCGACGCTGGTCGAGTACAGCGCTATGACGTCCGTGCACGTGAGCACGCGCAGCGCCTGGGCGTGCAAGTAGTTGGTGACGACCCACAGTAGACAAAACAGGAAGGTGCGCAGCACAAACTGGCCTGGAACAGAACACGACCGATATCTGACCGGCGCAGGATCGGCCAGGCAGCAGCCGCACTTAGCACAGCTTCGGTGGATGATTTTGGTTAGTTTCAAGACTTAAATCTCATCTGGAGCTACCAGCAGAAGCACTTTAGTTGAACGCACTGATGAGGATGTCCCCTGCACACTCTTCCCACGACAATACAACATCCAGAAAATGACAATTTCTGAGCCTCAATTGTCGGCGAGGAAAAACTCCGTCCACAGTGACCGCATTGTAGCGTCATGCACTCTGCCAAACGATCACGATGGCCTTACTATTCATTTTAGAAGTAGACATGTTCATGCTCATGGCCCTCGCAAAAGGTCAACACTGCATTTTCTGGCCAGGCCTGCAGATCGGGTGGAGTGACTTTTGACGTAAGCAGAAATATTACTTATCCAGAACTGAGGGAAACGGGTCGGACATGAGTGAGCAGCTTTCCAGCTCTCACATAGAGACTTTGTGCTGCAGCGCTAGCGGACGCCGATGTGGGTTGGTATTGAATACACGCCTTCGCCTCGATGTTCTATATGACTGCAAGGTTGTCCCAGATCATGCCGTTCTGTTACGCAGAAGTGGCTGGGTCCCTAGCCATGCATGTCCGTCACTGGCCATCGCGTCCTTACCCAGCGTATAGCCTCTGTCTCTAAAATAGCGGATGGCATTGACCACCTCACTGGAGGCTGTCTCTTCCTTTCGACGACAGTCCATGCACTGCAGCACAGAGAAGATGGGGAAGAAGAGGGAGGTCCAGGCGGTGCAGAACCAGGTGGTGAAAAACGGCGCGTCGTAGTGTCCACCCTGGAAGGAAGGCATGGTCTCAGTGAAACAAAAGCATGCGCCTTCGTCACCGAAGGAACAGCCACACATTAAGTGCTGATAGTGTCAGAGGTCCCAATGTCACTGAGGTCCAGTAACCCTGACAGTTTTTTTTTTACTTTTGGCGAGAAATACCAAGGTAATCTGCGCAAAGGTTTTTGGGATCCGGATATGGCCGGGCTCGGCAGTGGTTTCGTCCATGTCGATAACTGAACAGTGTATAGCGATAGCTAGCTCGCTGCTACGCCCCCCCCCCCCCCCCCAAAAAAAAGAAGCGCCAAGAAAGGGCAAGCAAGCAGCATAGCAGAGTAATTCTTAACTCTCATGTTATCCGAATGCAAAAGCATCGCTGGTAAGCAGCACATATCACGTATCGTGCAGGGACCTTCCGCGACCGACGGCAATCGGCGATTCAACAAACTGAATGACGACTCAGCACGGTCATCGCGCTAGCATTTAATTACGCTGATTGCCCGCCGTCTGACACTATCCAGCTAATTACTACCAGAGGGTGGCACAATGGGCATGGCCTCCACATACGCGTTAGCTGATTGTTTTTAACTGTCTGGCGTCACGTGGGCACCAGATCACAGGCGGATCACATTCTGTTGTGCGAGGACAGAACTCCCCACCCTGCACTGCACGGGCCCTGGCAGCTGGTCCTGTCGGTCGGCGCGCCCCTGGCCGGCACCGGCCCGGCTGCAGCCGCGCGCCCGTGAGCGACACACCGCCGTGACCTCTGCCACCCCACGACCTCCACCGCCGTTTCTGGGGACGAGCTCGACACCAGATAAATAAACGGAGGCGCTAAATTACCACCCCCACGCTGCTGGAATGGTTTGTTTGGCTGGCGCTCTGGCTTCGCGCAGCCACTGGGTGTCACGAGCGGCATGCGGTCAAAGGGGCCGCCCGATAAACCTGACGCGTCGTGACTTCCCAGTAGCTGGGCATATCCGCCCTCCCCCCCCCCCCCCCCCCCCCCATCCCCGTCCTGATCCATGGTCGTGCTCCTCGTCCTCCGCCCCCCCCCCCATCCCCGTCCTGATCCATGGTCATGCTCCTCGTCCTCCGCCCTCCCCATCCCCGTCCTGATCCATGGTCATGCTCCTCGTCCTCCGCCCTCCCCATCCCCGTCCTGATCCATGGTCATGCTCCTCGTCCGGTGAGGGATGCGGTCTCCCCATCACTGAGTCCGACATGCCCCTCTCCAATGTGTCTGAAGTGTCGCTCTCCAGTGTGTCTGACGTGTCTCTCCCCAGTGTGTCTGACGTGCTCCTTTCCAGTGTGTCTGACGTGTCTCGCTGTAGCCCCCACCCGGCTCTTCTTCACGGACGGTCGCGCGCGTCTCACCCGGTGGAGGACCCGGAAGATGTCGTTGGTGCTGTTGGGCAGCTGCGGCACCTGGCTGTCGTAGTAGGTCATCTTGATGAAGTGGGTGGCGCCCACCCAGGCCACTGTGATGCACGCCACGATGACCACCCCGCACAGCAGCTGTTGGCAGGGAGCACGACCGCGCTCTGGGCATGCACGGCTTCTGTTCACAGGTACGACGCGAGCCTGCCACAACGTGTTCTCATGTTGTCTTTCACTCTCCTCCGCGCATGCCCAGCTTTTGAGTTTTGTTAAGAAGTAACGTTCCTGAACATGGTATTGGAGTGACTGAGTTCACCGCTTTATCCGACCAGTGTTGTCTTCGCTTGCACTTTGAAGATGAAAGACCTTTCAGCGTCCAGCGAAAGCAGTCCGTGACGTGGCCTTTTGCAAGTTGTCATTTGGTGTGGCTAGGCGACGCGCGAAACAATCGTTGCCTCCGCGTACCACATACAGGGAAATACCAACGCAGATGGGTCAGTTCCATCAGTATCAACAGAGGTATACTGTCAATAATCACAATATATCTTGTCTTTCGCCGCTCTTCACACCACGAAATGAATTCGTCCATCACCTCCGCAAAAACGCATACCTTTCTCGTGGCTCTCGAAAATATCGCGCTTCTTATCCGTTTCAACCAGCTCTGGTTTGCTTGATCTTTGCTATTATCTGAAAGAGACGAATAATGTGCGAAGTGAAGCAGCGAAAAACTGGTCAAACAGCGTCTTCTTGTTTTATAAGTCATACAACACATATATAAAACTACAGTGTACCCATTTGAGGTAGCACGCATATTGTGTGTGTCACGGTGGAATTAGATTCTCACCGGCAATTTGAAAAAAACATATAATCCTCGAGCGTCCACCTCCCGGTGCCCCGAGTCGGCGGCGTCAGCGCCGCCGCCCGCAGCCCCGCCCTCCCGGTGCCCCGAGTCGGCGGCGTCGGGGCCGCCGCCCGCAGCCAGCGGACCTCTGCTGACGCCGTGCCGGCCGCGGCGCGCGGCCGAGTGCCGCGCCGGCAGCGTCGGGCTGCCCAGCACGCTGCCGTTACGGCTGGCCGTGCAGCCGAGCGAGTGCAGGCTCCGGCCGTCCGTCTGCTCCAGCTGCAGCTCGTCGTTGACGATGAGCGTCGGCGGCAGCTTGCCGGACGAGACGCGCCGCGAGCTGAACAGGGACGAGATGGAGCGCCGCTCGGACCGCTCGGCGCTCTGCGACTCCTCAGTCAGCGACATGGTGCCGGAGCGACGCCGACGGGTGCCGGGACGGCCCTCACATGGTGTCACCCTGCCGGCTGCGACAGAACGCAGCGTCGGCCCGGGGGATGAGTGGGCGTCGTGGGGTGGGGCATGACCTGGCGGCTGCCTATGGGACAGCGCAAAATACGTGGGAGATGATGTGGAAGATGGCGACCTGATATGCCGGATAGGGCGTGACACGGTGTCGGTTTGTGGGGTGAGGTATGACACCGCACCGGCCATTGTGATGACCGGGCCTGTTTGATGGAGCATGCCATGGTGTCAGGTGTCGGCGTCATAACATGACGTATGGCATGGTGTCACGTGTCGGTATCATGCCATGGAATATGACATAGTGTCAAGTGTCGGTGAGCAGCTTGTGGGATGGGCTATCATATGTCTAGGGCGATACTTTGCATACTTTTTGTTGGTCTGACAACACAATAGTTTCAGCTTTAACATCAGATTTATAGCAACGAATGGAAAGACTAATCCAAGTTCCAAAATCCTTGTTGGAGCACCACAATCATTTTCAGAGATGGTGCATATTGGATCCGTGCATATCGGATAATCTGTCTTTCGCAACCTCCCTTATCACCCGTTGTCCTTCGGACGGGGCTGATTGTTTCTGGAAAAGGACTGCTTGCCTGTTTGTTCCCCTCCCCATCAACGATGAACAGCCTCATGCTGTAAATTTTGCCGACGACCTATCCTTCCAAACATAATGATAGCCTAAAACTGCGGTTTTCGATCGAATCGGACGAGGTGACCTAATTGCGAGTTAACACTTAAAAGAATGGCACGATACACGGGTTTTATCCGCGGGCACGGGCTTCTGGCGCCAAAATTGGGTTTAGGCCTCCGCGTGATCCCATTGCTGCGAGAGTTAAGGTGGTCTCAATTTGGGGAATTGCTCACTGATCGTGATATCATGACCATGCGGCATCTCATCACTGACACCTGCTCATCTGAACTGCTGCGCGAGCGGCTGTTCCGGCGCTCTGGAGTGTCCGCCCACCGCACGTGTACTACAGAGGTTGGCTAGCTGTAACTACTCGAACGCACAGCATTTGCCCATCGTAGCTTTTTCTACCGGGCCGCGAGTGTTTGAAAAAACCTGTCACCGGAGGTAAGGCAGCAAACTCGTCCTGCACTGTTGAGTTGGTGGGGGTCGGGTGATAAGAACCAACTTAACATTTTTCCGTGTCACCTTTGCCTTGTATTGCATGCGAGTGATAGAAAGTTCTTTTTTCGTAGGAGCCGTAACTATCATGTATGGACTATCATGCATTGTGGGCACATTCTAGACATTGCACGGTGCTATCGTGTATCGACGTATCCACCGTGCACCCTTCGAACCTAGTAAGCGTATCTTGATCACCACTGTTTGGTTAATCAGCGACATCACATCAGACTCTCTTCGAATACTCTGAGTTCCATGGCGCTCATGCAAAGCATTCGGAACATTTTGTTCGGTTAGCTGTCGACACACACAATCAGTAGGTGTTTGTGAAAACCTCACAACCAGATCGTCATTCGTTATCCGACTTAGGCTAATTTAACTCTCCGATACATCATACCATAGGTGCCATTTGTTTACATTTTTGCCAAATTTTAATTGCCGCAGAAGAGTGTCAGCTACACAACTAGTCGGATTCGGATGTTTGGGGGGTTAAAGATATTCGATGTACGAAAACGCCAATATCTACAATCAAAATGAACATCATGTATTCAAATTTACGTTTTTTGTCGATTTAAAATTTCCAGTCGCAGATATCAGGATGGTGGTCTGTCTGCGAGCAGCGCGAGAAAATCACGCTAGATGTCAAAAGACAAATATTGCCGTGTATTGCCTTGCTTAAACACCCTCCCTCTTCCCCGTCAGCACATTTTATGTGGACTTGAATGCCATCCTTGCGAGTCCATGGTACCCCTTACAGAGGCGTCATTTTCTAAATCGGTTGGGGGGCTCTGCCAAGAAGGCTGACCTTGTCTGTCCTCAAAACCTGACTTCTGCTCGGATTTCGGCCAGCACAATTTGCGTCCCCGATGTTAATGAAGCTAAAATGTTAGAATGTTAATGATGATGTCAAGATATGGGGATGTTATGATGTTAAACTTAAAAAGCCCTTTTAATGTTTCGTGGCTTAAAAAGTAGTCTTTCTACGGAGGAATGGCTTTCAATCTCAAGTTAATGTTAACCGGATGTAATTCACAGAAAGCGTCTTAGTAAATCTTACTATGGAATGGGTGATGGCCACGGCTGTCGCTGATCGTGTTGTAGCCATGAATAAACATATCATAGAACAAACTAAACACAAAAGTAATAATCGACACGAACACCGTAGCTTGTTCAGTCCATTAGCGAGGAATATTATTCACATAGATAAGACAACAGTATTAGCCTTATTCCTCGGAAAAATCAGGAGAATGGAGATATAGTTTAGTTGATATTTCGGCAGCATGCCTTTATCGAAACAAAACATTTCCGTTTTTGTTTCAATAAAGGCATACTGCCGAAATATCAAGCAAACTTTATCTCCCTTCTCCTGTTTTTTTTCCGAGGAATAACGCTAATACTGCTGTCTTATCAATGCGAACACCGTAGCCACGAATATGCGATCACTGCACTTCCCACTTAAGGGAAAACATGCGGTAACTTTCATCTTAGCCACCCTGTACTTTTTAAAACTGCGCATATTGCGGTCATTGGTCCTTTATTTCAATCTACCCGGGTGACCATTTGAAAAAAGCGTTTCAAATATGTGCAAACTATCTTAGCATGTGACGGAGTTGGCCTGACAAATACGTTAGGTACCTGCAGGATAGTATTTGGTATCAGTTAGCAGGATACTGATAGTGACGTGTTTAGGTGCGTACTACCTAGCGTGCCAGAAGTTGAAATAATTGTTCTACATTTATTTGACCCACTGTCCCCTCTGTTCATATGCATAGGGAGGATCCACAACAGCACTGGGGGGCTCGTGTCAGCATGAGGGGAGAGTCCATGCCCTCGAAAGAACATATAGCGCCCTTGACCCTTCGTAAGATTTGGAGCCCTTGTTCTCGAAATCATGGACGCGTTCCAGCAAGCTGGTAATTATAAATTGCAGTACCACCATTACGCACGGGCCGGGGTCACTCCGACCAGATGTCATGGTTGGAAGCAATCTTCACTGATATAGTTAGCTACGACGGTTGGAACAAGCACCCGTCCAGACATAAAGCCGAGTCCGCCGAGTTCATAAGAGGACCGATGTCCCCGTGATGAGTGGAGCCGTCTGTCACAAAGAGAGCTGCGGGCCGTAGCCAGTCACTCACCGAGAGATCAGCAGCATTCGGCAGCTTGCACATTACCAACATCACAGCGTGCACCGCGCTGTTGCTGCCGCGCCCCCAAACCGTGCAGCACCGCGGTTGTCGTCTTCTCAAAGCGCACCCCGCTGCGTCAGTCCGTGTTTTCAGACTCAGTGCCACCGTCGTTGCCGCTGTCTTGAAGCGCGCACCACCGCTGCTGCGAGCCGCTCGAGCCGCTCCGGCGCCGGCTCGTCAGTCTGCTCTCTTCTTGGTCTGCTGCCAGCGTGGGGCCTTCCGCGGCCGCCTCTCGCGGGGAGCGCCGACTGCGACGGCCGCTGGTCTCTGCCGCCGCCTCGCGCTCGGCGTCGGCCGAGGCGCGCGCGCGCGCGCATCGGTCAACACCGCTGGGCCGCCGTCGGGCCGCAGCGGGCTGCCGGGCCACGTCGCAGCCGACGCGATCCGGACCGAGCGCCGGCACCTCTGACGTCACAGAGGTCGATTTGGAGAATCGATGGCCGCCGGAGCCGGCCGAGATCGAGCGGCCTGCGTCGGCCGAGATGGGCTCGAAGGTCGGAGCAGCAAGGCTGGCTCGGCTGGCGCGTGTGCGTGATGTCGCACTATCGTGTGTAAGAGGAGTCATCGGGCTATTCTGCATAGGGAGAGACGTCGGACTGGTCTGCACAGGAGATATTGGACCGGTCTGATCAAAAAGAGACGCCGAGATGGCGTATGTGGGGAGGTGCTGTTGGACCCGGCCATGTCGGTGGAGGTGTCAGGCTGGCCTGCGTCGGTGGAGATGTCAGGAGATTCCGGGCTGGTGTCGATGTAAGAGATGTCTGGTTGGTCTCTGTAAGAGTTGTAGGGCAAGTCTATATGGGCGGAGATGTCGAACTGGTCTGCTGGTCCATTTTGGGCAGGCAAATATCTAACCAGTCTGTGGCGGTGGAAATGTGGGGTGGTCGGTGTCGACAGAGATCTCAGACCTGGTCTGCGTCAGCGAGATGTCGATTCTGCCATCGGTACGTAGTGTGGTGGCCAGAGGGCTATGACGACCATATCGTTAATCACAACTGGACAGACAAAACGTCCAGATGTGCCCGGCTGGGCGCAGACTTGCTCGCCAAATGGAAGAAAACCTCGAGGGGCCAACTGTTAAGTGGCAGGAGATGGCGCTGACGTGTGATGACGTTATGGTGTGGCTATGTACGCCTAGCTTTTTGTCTCATCCACGGTGGGTACAGGAAGATGACTTTCATTGAGTATGCATGAAAAACTGCACTTCACTGAGGCTCCTGTGTGCTTTGTGATGTGCTTGATGACTCGAAGGAAATCGTCGCTGTCCATCAATCCAGATTGACGCACGAGGCCAAGTGACACCGAGGATGTTCCCATCGTCAGCGTCCCTTGAAGTGTTTTCCCTGAAGAAAACAAACGCTGAAAGAGCGCACACGCCAACGGACACGATGCCGCCCGTTAGAGATCGCTCCGGTCACGGCACGGGACCTGGCAGACGGCCCCTGGACTCCTTGTCGTGACTGGCTTTGGACACTTGCGCTGTTGTGCATCCAGCTTCACATTTATTGTAGATTCTGCTACCATTTTCGCCGGTTTGAAAGAGCACTAGCTACAAGTTGTCGAAAAATTTGGACACGGTGCACCGGTTGGAGCTCGCTGCTCTTGAAAGTGATGATGGCTCCGGCTGTCTTACAACAGGGGTTGGGTGCCGGTCCCTATATCCTCGACGCCAATCTTTTCCAACCATGTTGGTTCCCTCTCATCCATCTCGTGACGCAATCAGTTCCCTTTAGCAATCTAAAAGACGAATTTTTCACCTTGACTGAGCGGCATTTTCTTTTCGTGGAATGTGTAGCACTCACCAGGATTCCTTCAGGATTTCAAGAGAATCGGTCTAAGCTGAAAGGTGAGCTCTGAAATGAAACGTAAGTCATGAAATAAAAGGTAAATTATGAAATAAAAGGTGACTTATGAGATTTAAGGTACGAAATAAAATTTAAAAGGTCTTACAAACATCTACGACACCGCAGAACTCAACGTGGAGAACGCAGTTATGTGAATTTGACCTCTCTATTTTAGCTCTTTCCGAACCCAGTAAGTCCTCGGCAGCCACAAACATATGTGTCCGCAAGCTTCCATATCAGTGCATCTTAGCAACAAAACCAGAGGGCACGTGGCATAACACGTACAATAACGGCGGTATTTTGCTTAGCCTGATCTGATCTATTCCGCAACCCGCTTGTTTATATCCGTTTTGGCTGAAATAACAGGAATTGGGTAGCACCGAACCGGGCCAAGGACACAAACTCCGCAGGATGAATTTATCAGCTGGTGTTTTTCTTACAACCATTGTGGAAACAACTAGGTTATACATGACTGTATTCATGAAAAGCTGTTATTACCAGAATTAATCAGTATAGAATCAAGTGTTATGGCCTGCAATGAAAATAAGCTGAACATTGTTTGACATTGGCTCAGAGGCTGCACCGGTGCGTAAACAATGAATGGAGGGCCGATCACCAGCGGACTCACTCACATTAACGACACTGTTCCATTTGTGCCCGTACCTGATTTCTGACCTTTATCTTATCTCATCGGTTACGCGGCCATGCCGGATCTGACAACATGTTGTCTCGGTATCAACAAGAAGGGCACCATTTTGAAAGGATGCGCAAGTTTGACAGGCAAGGACATGAACACACCACAGACAGATAATGTAAAGCTGATATGAAGTACCGTAAAAAGATCTAGTACGCGCAAATACAGCAATGGCTTCAAAAGATAAAGTGTTAAAAATTATAGGAGAAAAGCATTCGCACATTTGGGGTTGTCATTTACAGAACATTTTTAAGCTCACTGCTTTTCATTATTGTCTCCGAGCGCTGTTTCTGTCAAGGCACGTCGAGCCACAATAATCTTTTTATGAAATAAATCAGTCGTTTCTGTTTTAGTCCAGCCAGCATGTCTCTAGAGATAACTGAGACAATCACTTTGCCCAGAGCTACAGATAATTTTGCCTGTGCTCGACAGAGAGACCTTTTACGTGTCACCCAATGCCTTGATACTCTCACGCCGTGTAAACGTGACACACCTTCGCCTCTCGCCAGCTGCCATCTGCCGGGTCAAACAGAAAGTCGCCTCTGGGGCTCAAACCTAGGTACGTGCATGTGTCGTGGTCTGAACCCCTCGAGCACGACTTTAGGAACCAGCATAAATATAAATATTTGAGTAACGTATATATACCCCAAGGTTTGACCAGATAATCCCTAACTTGAATCAACTGAGAACCACACGGTCGACGCCTGAGGGGTAAGTGCAATTATTTTTATTCAAGTAGGCGAAGGCTCAATGAATGCTATAGGTCATTCAAACATGAAACACCAAACTCACCAAACATGCAACACACCAGACATGAAGCATCTAAACACAGTATTATTGCGAAACTTGGCGAAATCCAGCGAGTGGCTATTGTAACGCCGCGATTGTAAATACTACATAGACAAACACAGAACACGCAGCGCATGCAGATGAGATGTAGTGCCAGCGATACGCATACGATGTTATAAAACATGAGCGACTTATGATACGATCAGCACCTGCACGTAATGGCCAGTTGGTCAATTCATGTAAGTTCTTTGATGAAAGACGTTGCTTTGCCCTTGAACTCATTGCAGTTTCTGCGCTGGCGCGTGACAGTAGGGAGGCGATTCCATGCCGTTACGGCTCGATAGGGGAATGCCCTTTTCACGCACTCTAAGCGAGTTTACTACTAAACAGAACATCATATGATCTGTTTAGTTAGACGGCATTTGGTTTTTTTATAAAATACTCAGAAATGATATAGGTTGATAAGGTGATAGTGGTTACAGGAAGCGTCCATAACCTTGTTAGGCATACGGGGTAACGCCTTAAATTCTACCAGATAGCGTAACAATGCTAACGTTACGAAGATCACGTGAAACCCCAGCATTAACCAGAGTGTGTAACAATGCTAACGTTATGAAGGTCACGTGAAATGCCGGCATTGACCAGATAGTGCAGCAATGCTGACGTTACGAAGGTCAAGTGAAATGCCGGCATTGACCAGATAGTGCAACAATACTAACGTTACGAAGGTCACGTGAATTGCCGGCATTGATTGGACAGTGTAACAATGCTAACGTTTCGAAGGTCACGTGAAATGCCGGCATTGCACGAGAACAGACATGTTTCATGGACTTTTCTAAGTTCAGAATAGGTCCATGACCTAACATGGCCCAAATAATGTCAACACTTTGTTGTGAGGAACGAACCTCCCAGCGTGATCCCTGATGGTTATTCGAATGACAAAATAGGGCAATCCCGTAGGTATCTGGTAACGTTGACCTTATAAAGGTAAAAAGGGCGCTAAGCCCATTGAACGTTTGCTGAGAACAGGTAGCTCGCTACACAGCGGTTACGTGAGGAGGTCTGAGGGCATTTGAAGCGCATAACTGGAGTTTGGCCTATTTTGACCTGATTTTAACCAAAGGTCATGACCTATGGACCTCCGATTATGATACAAGTGAGATCACGTACAGGCCAATCTACTCTGTGAATTTAGTATCTCTAGCTATCTTAGTGTTTGAGATCCCGGGGGTGTCAAATTGACCCCTTCCCCCACCCGAGCAAGGGGTATTCAACCGGCTAACGGGAAGCGCATTAACACTGCAACGCAAAATTTTCTGAGCAGACGCGATTGGACGTCATATGATTGTGGTATTATGAAGCGTTCAAATGGTGCTTGCCGCGGTAGTCGTCGTAGTCCCGGTAGTGACCAATCCACGGATAATACGGACATTTATCCATTGTGGTATTATGAAGCGTTCAAATGGTGCTTGCCGCGGTAGTCGTCGTAGTCCCGGTAGTGACCAATCCACGGATAATACGGACATTTATCCATTGTGGTATTATGAAGCGTTCAAATGGTGCTTGCCGCGGCAGTCGTCGTAGTCCCGGTAGTGACCAATCCACGGATAATACGGACATTTATCCATGTGCGACCTGGCAACTGAGTTCAACAAGGACGTCAATAAAACTGCCAAAGGACCCCGAGGCCAGAGCGAGACCAGAGAGCCTCAGATCACAGAAGCGCCAAAAGAGGCAGAGATCACTCAGCCGGACGCCCGGCGCGCTCGGCCAGGCAGCCATCGAACACACCGGCAAGGAAGCGGACCGTGAACGAGAACTCAGCGCGGCTGATGCTCCAGGTGCTCTCAGAACTAGGGAAGAATTTCCGATTCGGCGCAGTGAGTTGCATCTTAAGGCTTC